GTACTGCTTTGTATTCATAAAAAAAAAAAAAAAAGGTTATATTTAAAACTTTTAGGAACTCATGCCATGCAATTACCTCAAATATAAAACCACTTTACAATAAGCTCCTTTCACAATGCGGGAGACAGACCCCTCGGATAGCATCCAAGAAAGACCCACCTTGGTTACATTTTACTCTCTAAGAAAGGAAGTTAGAGAGAGGTACCTGGGACTTTTACGCTTTTTGTATACAAGAAAATAAAGTTCTGTGTTTGTGTTGTCTGCTAAGCCCGAAGTGCTTTCTACTTCCAGAACCAGCAAGAAACAAGAAGTGAGATCTCCTTGGGCTTGTCAAGGTAAATAAATAATTAAAAAATAAATCAAGGGGGGGCGGCTGGATGAGTGAGGGAGGGCAGCTGGTGCCAGAGGCAGTCTTTCTCGGCTTCCCAGGCTTCCCACCTCCTCAGGCCGGTTGAGGGCTTGCAGGAAGAAGAGAGACAAACAGAAAAACGCCTCGGGCCTGGAAGATACAGCTCTATCTTGAGGACCCAGTTATTTCTCCAATAATACAATGGAAACTAGCTTATTTGGAAACCCTTAGTCAGAAGAAAGTGGGTTTCGCAAAGCTGGGAAAAGTCAACTGCTCCTGCGTCCTGGCCCCCAGGGTCCTGGGGAGCTGGTCCTAGGACAATCAGTGTGCAACAGGCCTGAGCTGTTAGGTTCTATAAAAAAATCAGGAAAAGCTCTCTAGACCCAGAAACCCAAACTATCCCACGTTCTATCTTGAAATTAAGTTGAATACAGGTGGACCCTCGTGAGTCATCTGTTTTGTATGTACGAAGACAGAAGAACTAAGGTCAAATCTTGGTTTCACCAAGTCAGTTATAACTTTGAGCAACTGACTTTCCTCTGTAAGGCTAAGTTCCTCAAGTAAAACAGGTTGTTCTGAGGAGTAAGCCCCCCCCCCCCCCCCCCCCGCTCACAACAGGTATGGCTATTAGCAAGCACGGAGCGCAGAGGAGCCACGTACCCAGCGCTGAGTCAAGGCTTCATGCTCATCGTATAACTCTTACAACTCACATAGGAAAGCCTTTGATTTTGAGCAGAAGGAACAGGACCTGATTACATTTTGAAAAGATCACTCTGTCTCTTGTACCGTGGCAGGACACAGGTGGAGGCTGGAAATGCACCGTGGAAATGCACCGTGGGGACACAGGTGGAGGCTGGAAGGCCGGGGAGGCCAGGCCTGGAATAATCCGCTGGAGCCGCAGCACCCATGAGGAAGGGGAGACCAGTCGGAGTTGCAGTACATGTTGAAGGCAGAACCTCCAAGGTGCGGCCAGTGGGGTGGGAGGAGAACTGGCTCCGGGTGGTGTCCTCCTAGAAGCCCAGGGAGGAAAGGATTTCCCCCAGGAGGGAGGGATGGGCCACATCCAAAAAATACTGCTGTGAGTTTGGGTGAGGTGCCATCCAAAAGCGATCGCTGGATTTAGCAAAGTGGAAGGTGTTAGTGTCTCGGGCACATGCCCATTCCGTGGAGAGGCTGGGATGCCTAAAAGCCCAGTTCCCGAAGGTTTGAGAAAGGGGAACTAGAAAGTCATACTCATGGATACTCATGGATATAAAGGAGAGGGACAAAAATAATGACTTCATAGAGGCAATTTCAATGGAGAAAGTTTTAGCTTGAGAACCACCTTAATATTTTTCATATTCAAAACATAAAATGAAATCAGTAAAAACGGGAGGGGAACCCTAACCCTAAAATTGAGCACAAATGGAAACAAATAATCTAATTATATTTCACACGAATATCCTAACAACACTGCAGAAAGAATCAAATCTAATAACTTTTCAATTTAACACCTGACTACATACCCTTAGCCTAAAAACTGAAAGAACTGATCTCTTAGTAGGTTTGCTTTTCACAGTGCTAAGGATGGGGCAATTCTGGAACTATCTGTGTGTCTTAGAGAACTAAGCAAAAGAGCGGACATCCTGATGTGAGAGCCAGGATTCTCACTGTTGGAGACAGGAAACACAAATACAGAAGTGGAAACAGCAATAAAGGGCACGGTGGGCTGGACTGGAATTGGGAGGCCCCACTGTGAAATAACGATTTTTAAAATAAATTACATATTGTTATATATATGTGTATGCATGTGAGCTATATTCTAGTCCCGCCTGCTAAAGGGTCTAGAAACAATGATCCCCTAGTAGCAATGAACCTACACAGCCCCAAATCATAGTTGTTGTGTTTTTTTTTTTTATGTTTATTTATTTTTGACAGAGAGAGACAGCATGAGCAGGGGAGAGGCAGAGAGAGAGGGAGACACAGAATCTGAAGCAGGTGCCAGGCTCTGAGCTGTCAGCACAGAGCCCGACGCGGGGCTCGAACTCACGGGCCACGAGATCATGACCTGAGCCGAAGTCGGACGCTCAACCGACTGAGCCACCCAGGCGCCCCCTCCAAATCATAGTTTTTGCATAGCATTTCCCTTTAAGATGAACCAGGGCTACTTGGAGAAATGGCTGATTCAGGGGCAGGGACAGTATCAATGGGGCTGGAACATCTTTTTTGTGCCAGGATGCACAGATGTACAGAAGGAAGCTCCTCCAAAAGATGGAGACCCGTCAAAAGGAATTGCCACTTGCCAAATGAGGAACAATTTGAGCACCGGGATGAATGACAGAATGAGTAATAGTCCCCTGAATAAAATAAGAACCTAAACTAAGTCCACGCTGCTAATAAACAAACAACAAATATAGGAATAAAAAGGGGCAGGTAAAGGAAGAGTTTATCCTTCTACAGACGCCATCTAATAAGAAATGAAGACAGAATAACGGCGTTAGGAAAAAAAAAAAAGAACACCAGGTGGCCACCATGGTAGTCATTAATTAATAACAGAGGCAAGGAACATTGTGCAAACCTCGAGTACAAATTTGAAGAGGAACCAAGTATTTACAAGGTTACAAAGTACCTCCCACTAATTGCTTCTATATGACACAGGGAAATGTTGTCATTTAGAGTGGAGAAACCTGACGCATATCAGCTCAACCAAATGGTCAAAGTTATTTTCGCCAAAAACGGGACAAACTAATGGCATGCGGCCTCATGAACACGATACCATGAGAACACAATACTTACCATCGTATTCTTCCCCAAATCACATAATCTCATCTAATTTTCCTAACTTAATCCTAAAGAAACAGATAATCCCAAACTGGGGCACTGGCCTGAACTCTTCAAATAGGTCCGTGTCATGAAAGACAAAGGGTGAACGACTACCCCCGATTAAAGGAAACCAGAGAAACAGACAACTTGATGTCACGTAGGGAGTGGGTCCTGGAACAGAATCAGGAATAAAATTCATAGAAGACATTATTGAATCAATTAGCGAAATTTTAGTATAGACTGTATATGAGACGATGATACTGTGTCATGAATTTAGCAGTGGTGTTTTGGCTAAGAGAGGGTCTCCAGTGTGAGGGGCCACACACAGACACATCTAGGGGGAAAGGACAGGACACCATCAATCCATCCTCAGAGGGTTAGGAGAAGATAACAATCATAATCATAATAATGTGGGGTGCCTGGCTGGCTCAGTCGGTGGAGCGTGCAACTCTTGATCTCGGGGTTGTGAGTTCGAGCCCCACGTTGGGTGCAGAGATTACTTAAAAATAAAATCTTAAAAAACAGCAGGGGGCGGGGGGGGGGGGACACCTGGGTGGCTCGGTTGGTTAAGCGTCCGACTCTTGATCTCAGCTCAGGTCTTGATCTCAGAACCTTGGGCTCAAGCCCCATATCGGGCTCCGTGCTGGGTATGAAGCCCACTTTAAAATAACATAACATAAAATCTTAGAAAATAACAATAATAATAATAATGTATGTGCGCACCTATATGCGTACGTATGCGTGTATATACGTGCATACACAGGTGGTCCCTGACTTACGAGGGTTCAGCTTACAGGTTTTGACTTCAGGACGGTGTGAAAGCAACAGGCACCCAGTAAGGACTGGGCTGCAGATGCTGAATTGTGATCTTTTCCCGAGCCGGGCACACGCGGTACGATCCTCCCTCCTGGCTCCGGGCAGAGACGGTGAGCGGCGGTTCCCAGTCAGCCCCATCATCACGAGGGGAAATAACTGATACAACCATTCTGGACCCACACAGACATTCTGATTCTCGCTTTCAGCAGGGCGTTGGGCATATAACACGAGGTACTCAACACCTCACTATAAAATGGGCTCTGCGCGAGGGGACAGGGCCCAACAGTGGGCTACTGTAGGTGTTCTGAGCACGCTTCAGCTGGGCTGGGCTAAGCGATGGTGTTGGGAGGTTGGGGTGTTATATGCGTTCTTGGCTTATGATACTTTTAACTCGTGATGAGTCTGCCGGGATGCGACCCCATTACAAATCGAGGAAGATCTGAATATACGCAGAGAGAGAAAATGACAGAGCGAACACGGCAAAACCGATGAGGCTGGGTAAAGAGTGTAAGAGAATTCTCGTTCTAGTCTCAAAAGAATTGCAAATGATTATTTTTTTACTTAAATGCAACAGCCCCTATTTAAGTGCCTAGCACATAGTGACTGTTTAGCAGAGGCTTTCTTTCATCCTTGCTCTAAACCACCTCTGACCCTTGAATAGATTTTTTTTAACCGATAAATGTTTGGGGTTTTTTTGTTTGCTTGTTTTGTCTGTTGTTGCCAACATTTAAAACTCAAGAGTTCTTACCCTCCTCCCCCTCGAAAAAAAAAACAAAAAAACAAAAAACCCCGATTCCCATCTTCTCTTGAAAATCTGGAGCAGCCATGTGGCGGGCACTGGAGGGGTGTCCCTCCCCAGCCGGACCCCGGGTCTGGAGCAGTGAGGACCACCAACCGCTGGAAGCAGTCACCGGAAGGGACAGCAGCCAGTGTGGCTCCGCTGTCCCCTCATCAGAGCAGAGCTAGTACTGCCAAGAAGTCTTAGACCAATAAATGCTGTGTCTTAAGACTCACAAGCCCCTGCCCTACTTACCGTCGAGGAACAGCTTTTCCAGTTTCTCGAGTAGCTCCGCACACTGATTCAGCTGCTCCTGGAAGCCCTCGGCCACGTAGCGATCCACGTCGCTGGCCTGTAGCAACTCCTCAAATGCCTTAATCACGGTGTTCATATGTCGACGGTAAATGACACAGATGCCATGGCTGTCCTTAATCTGCTGTCTTTGAAGGGAGAGCTCCCTGGCTTGGGACTGAACTAATGAATCGTATCTGATAAAAGGGGAGGGGAGAGAAAACGCTTGTGCCATTTCAGAATTGCATTTTTGTGACCTTAACACTAATTGGAAAAATGACAGAGCACAATTTTTTAAAGCCTGCAGCTGTACAAGTATATATACTTCTAGAAAAATTGGAAGTGTGTAAGGTCACTCCTTCGATTTCAAAACAACCCACAAACGCTGGAACAAAGGTTCTTCTGCGCTATTTTCAACCTTATAAAGCCCCCAATTACAGTACAGACTGGCAAGAACTCAGGAGAACATTTAGTTTCCATAAACTCCTCAAAAATATTATTCTGAATTATAGAAACAAGTGCTCCAAGGGTCAGAGGACCCGCCACAAATTCCCACGAAGAAGAAAAAAGAAACTGTTGACACAGGAAAACAAAATCGGGACTCTCTCCTCTCCAAAGGTCAGGGGGTAATCATAATCCTAACTACCATTTACGGAGGGTCTATGATCTGCCGGTCACTGCGTTAGGTGTTTTTTATAAGTTAACTGTTCCTCCCAATCTTTCAACAAACGTATGAACCTCCTGGTCTACAGCGAGGAAACGGACTCTGAGATCGCAAAGTTAAATGGGGAAGGTTTCGGACTCAAACAGTCCGCCTTCAAAGCCCATGCTGCATCGCACGATACGACCTCTCCTGATGCCGGATCTGTCTTCCCCCGTGTGAGCCGACCAGTACTCCGAGGCACGGAGAAAAACCCAAGTTAAGCAAAGCGTGGCTCATATACGGCGTGGCCACAGTAACTCGGCCCCAGCGTGGCTCGGCAAAGATGCTGACCCTTCAGTTCAACGTGTCCCCCTTTTCCTGAAATGAGGGCAGTACGTGGGGCTGCTGCCCCTGCCTCTGGTGGTGAGCGTGCACGTACAGACCATGTGACATCAGCCTTGAAGGTGGGGCAGGCC